TAGGTCCCTTCCGACCCTTAATCTATGAAACTATGAAACACTTTATCCATGTTTTACAAATGTGCACTATTTTGTGTAAATTCTTTTTGCCTTCATATAGCTAAATAAGATAGAATTGACTTAGTATAAACTTTATTTGCTGATGGATACAGTAACTAGATCACATTTTCCATTTTCTCTCTCTCATTTGGAATGTTTTTGGATCCTGCAATAGCCTTCTTGGATACTATTTTTTATGTAATATTATTTATGCATAAATTAAAAATGACTTTAAGTCTTTGTTTGAAAATAATTGCTATTGCTTAGTGATGGATCTCTAGCATATGATAACCAAACATACCTCATCATACACATTAGCTAATAAAAGAAGCAACATTATAATAATATTACTTTGCACTTTTATTTGTTGATCTAACAGCACTGCACACATTTACTAAATCTCGCATCAGCTCTGTGTTACCAAAAACTTAACTGAACCACCAAGATTTTTTAAGCGTCCACTATTTTAAGAGAGGCAGGAATTCTTGCGGGTGATGTCTTTTATTGAACCAACTGCATGCTTAGGATAGACATAGGCAAGCTTTCAGGTATCGCAGTACCTTTCCTCAGGCCTCTGGGAGAGAAGACGACACAGCAGAGCTTGAGTTTAATTCGCCATTCCTTGTCCCACTAGCATGGACCTGAGCCAGGGTCCTCCTGGCACTCCACCCTCACCGCAGCAGTAACAGAGGCAGGGGCATGGCCAAACACCAGCCAGCATAGCTCCCTGAGGCAGAGGGCCAGAGAGGAGGTTTATTTTCCCCCCTCTGCCCCTGGGGAGCCCCCCCAGCTTCTGGCCTGCATTTTCTGAATGTCTGTTCACTTGCAAAGATTGAATCAATTCAGGCTCCAACTATTTGAATTTCTGTCCATAGCCCAATAAGTTAATGTATTTCTGTTCCCATGTTTGTCTTGTAAGGGTGTTGAGTAGATTTCTTTTAGCAGAGCGGTTCCCAAACTGGCTCACGACCCCAAATGCAGTCATAACATCAGCAGATGAGGCCACAATAAACATGCCCCCTAAGATTTCTGTGGCCACAGCAGGGTGCAGGGCTGCAGCTGGGCCAGATCAGCTCCCAGCAGGAGCCACTTCTGTGGCCCAGTGTGTGGGACCCATTGTGGGAGAGAGTGCTGCACCATCATGGCCACCAAGGTGAGGCTCATCAGTGGCGGCAGCACAGAGTTGTGCCCACACTACTGCTGGGTGAGCAGGGGGTGCCTCAGCCTGGCAGTCATGGTGTCACGGCACAGCACTCCCTCCCGGGTCCTGCCCACCGTGCTGTGGAGCCCGCAGCGGGAGGGCATCAGGGCAGGGAACCCCAAACCTGCAGTGGGCAGCCCGCATCTTTCCCCACACACAGGCTCTACTCCAGCAGTGCTGCCCAAGGGGAGGGGATGGGGGGTGGAAGCTGGGCTCTGCACTCCTCTCCGGCTGCACCAGCCGTTGCCTCCCACAGGTGGTAGCTGGGGCTCAGGCACTGCTGGGGCTGGGGCTGGGGCAAGGCACTGTGGGCCCTGGCCCTGGGGGACTGGAAGGGCTGTAGGTTGGGAGCAATGGGCCATGCTGCAGAAATGCCATAAATGGGGTCATGCTGAAGAAAAGTTTGGGAAGCACTGCTTTAGCACAAAAGCAGTCATGTCAGGCAGTGAGTGATTTTGTGAAAAAAGTTCTCCTACCTGTGTTTTAGTGTTTCTATCCTGAATCCTTTTTGATCCTTTGGTGATCTTTCTGTTGCATAGTATTTGTATGGTTTTTTACCCACATGGTTGCCATGAGGGCATTTGCTGCACCGGGTGAGGTATACCACATTCTGCCATGAACATGTGCATGATCCATGGAGTCTGACAGTTTTGTTGTGGAGAGTACTGATCGTTGTGACAGTAGAGGTATGTTGACAGGTCTTGCATTTATTTTGAAGGAAGGGCTGGGTCCCATTAGGTGCCTGTTGATCAGGGTGTTTACTTCTGATAATAAGTTGGGCATGGTTAGAGGGCTGTTTGAAGGCCAAGAGAGGGGGTTGGGGGATATTTTTTTAAGGCCTGGTCCTTGACAGGTATAGGTTGTAGTTTGATTCTTCTTATAGGCTCAAGTGTGGGATAGTGACAGTTCAATGGTGTGCAGTCAGTTTTTATCTTGTAGGTTGCTGTGGGATATCTGTGTGGCTTTTTCAAAGATACAGTCTTTCTATTCTAGAGTATTCATGCTCTGAGTAAAGAGAGTTTTTAATTTGGCAAGATGAATATCCTGGGTATTCTCCTGAGAGCAGATGTGGTGGTGTCTGAGGGCCTGACTGTAGATCACCCCTTTTTTGCTGCGTTTAGGCTGATTGCTGGTGGAAGTAGGTGTGGTAGTCTATGGGTTTTCTGTGTAGGATGCCCTCTTGGATATACACTGTGGCATCTAGAAAGTTGATGGTAGTGCAGGAATATTCCAGAGAATTTGATTGAAGAGCTGTAGTTGTTAAGTCTGCAGTGTAAATCAATAAGTGAGTCTGGGTGCTAACTCAAGATGATGAAAATGTTATCTATGTAGTTCAGGGATACATAGGCTAAAACACTGGGGCCCAAACATAGAAATGTTACTTTTCTCCTCCTCCCCTGATCATTTTTTCCATGACTTGTGCTCAGGCACATGTGTACCTGGGCTGTATATGTACATCTGTACACATTCAGTTTACAGCCAGTGTACACATGCAGGATTAAGCATCCAAAGCATAAAGTGGGGCCAAAAACAGCCAGGTAGAGGGCTAGAAAACTGCCACTTAGATGAGCAAGAGCAAATAGCATGTCACCCCTTTCGTCTTCTCACAACAGAAGAAACAAGGCAGTTCTGCCTAAAGTACTCAAAGATACAATGCTGTTTGTTGGAAAAATCCAGTGAAATTGTGTCAAAGACAGAAAAGCTGTTCATGCGAAAATCATCTGACTTCTCTTCAACCAGTGCAGGATCCCTGTGACTGTTAAGACAGTCCAAATCCTTAATTTACCACATGCTGTTTCTGACTTTCCTGAACGTGACCTCCGCAATGCAAGTAGTGTGTGGTCGTTGTATCCTGAGACTTGAATTAAATCTATCTACATGAAATCTATTTACAATATATTTTCTATGCATTTTTTTCTGTTGGTCACTTTGTGTTAGTTAAACACAAGCATTTTCTTTAAAATTATGTTTTGAAAATCATGCACACATGCACTTTCATATCCGTAGTAGTGGTTTCCTGTTTTCATTATATGTTGCATCTCCAGTAGTTAAAATCAGTATTTTCTGTAATAATGTGTATTTGGGAATTTGTATTGGCTGTCTTTCAATTTTGACTATTACATATTACAGACGTTTCAACCTGTTAACATAAAGTAGCTATTTTACAGGTATTTTAAAGCAAAATGTCTTTGTCTCTACAGCTGATCTGTAGCCATTTTGAGATGGGAGCTTAAAGGCTAGCTTGGATGCTTCTGGAAAGTTATCCCATAGAGAGAAGAGAGTAAATGAAAAGGTCCTCATTAATGGAGCAGTTCTGTTAAACTACACTTGGCTTTCAGCTGGCTCAGCACTAGCATCCATGTCTTTCTTAGCCATCAATTCCAGAGTGTCCTTCATTTAATTTTTGAGAGGTGAACATTGATATCAAGGCAGTAAGGTGTGGCACTGAGCTGTCATAATAGGTGTAGGTGTTGGGAAGGAGTACCACTGGTGATGTGTACTGGTCCTTTTTGTTCTGGTAAGCTTGTTTAATTTTTCTCATTTGGCCAACATTAATAATTGTCCCTGCTACATCCCATGATCTCCATGGGCTTTGCATTACCAGCAAATGCATTTTTAACTGTGTCTGCATGTTTCCCTATCCACAGCCAAAAGACATTTGGGAGTTTACTCCTACCCCATTCTCCCAGCTCCTAGACCTGGAGCTATACTGTTACAAGTACACTTGTGGCAGTAACTTTTAAATATACTTTTTCCAAGACTTACTGAGGATGTCATATAGAAGTTAGGCTTCCAGTGACTCTTGTCTGGTGCAGTAGAGTTAAAAAATTCAACCAGAGGTGTCCCTACTTAGGGGGAGTTGTACTGAGGGTTTGTTGCTACAAAACTGCTTATACTAGTACAAGTATTTCTGTATCTGCACAGGCATTGGGCTGACAGAATTGTGCTGAAGTGCTTCAGTCTTTGGGGGCCTCAGTTAATTTTGTCAGCAAGAGCTAGCTGTTCTGTCAACAAGAGGCAAGAAGACAGAGTGTAAATGGATGCAAGGCTGTGCCAAGAGAAGGAACGTTTTGCTGATAAAACTTAAAACTGGAATGCAGACCTTCACCCCACTGATACCAACTAATTCTACCTTTCATATCAGGCAGCTTCAAGTGGTCTCTTTATTGCTCAATGTCTTTATTGTACAGCTATAAAGCAGTTACTTATAGCTGTATGGTAAGTTATTCTGACCATCCCTTCTTTCTCCAGGAAGTTGCGGAACAATTACTTGTCGATTCAACCAGAAACCAGTTCCTGAATTTTTCAAATTTCTGAATAATAGTTTTTTTCACACAATTTTCATTTTTACAACTAATAAATGGCAATTCTCCGTAGCAGGTTCATTTCCTGTTCCTACTGCATTGCCACTTATGTGGGCTTTACACCACAACATGAAGCATCTGGTACAAGCTTATTTTGGAGATGGGATACAAATCCGATCTGCTTGGAAGTCCCTATATCCTTGTTTTCCCTGTATTATGTCTGATGAAAAATAAGACATTAAAAATATAGTATGCCCTTGTTTGTTACTTGCAGATTGTCCAATTTCAAAAAAATGTTGAAGTGAATCCTAATGTTCCAGTTACAGTGCTATTTATGGCACTAACACAGAAGGCAGGGGGAGGGGAGGGGAGAGAGGGAGAAAGAGTTGTAAGCTTTTTAACTAAACTATATCTGTGTTATATTAGAAAAATAATAAAAACACTTTTTTTCAGCATAATAATACCTGTGTGATACTTATTTTTATTCAAATCACAAGGTATCATTTGCTCTTCCTTTTTAAATATAGAGCACTTGAAGAAAAATGGAAACAAAAAGAAGAAAAGGAACAAAGATTTAGAGAACGAGTACTGCAGCAAAGGAAACTGAAACATCAGGAAGCAACTGAAAAGTTCCAACGTGCTCATCTCCCTTTTCCTCAGCACGAGAAAATAGGTTTGGAAATCCTTTCCTTTCCTTGCTCCCAGGATGTAATGAAAGCTTGTGCTATATGTACTTATCAGCTTATTCAACTTATTGAACCCCTCCCTCATCCCCCCACTTCCCTACTCCCCCCAAAAAATTAGTAACTCCATGCAAGTGAAGTAAGGTCATCATTATTAAAGAGAAGGAGATATAAGCAAGAAGAGA